AAATGTTGCCATATTCCTTATTTCAGTTGTCTCTCTTTTTGCCAAATTGAATGACTGATATAATACAAAAGCTCATTTGCTTCTACTTTAAAACTTCCATCATTCCTGCAGAGAAAGCTGCCTAGTTTTCCCGGAGATATGCGCAATATTTTAAAAGTGTTGTGCAAATTTGTTTCAAACGCTTGAAATTTTATCACAATTTCAAGAGCATATGATTCGCGTCAAATGCATACAGTTTTCACGGTGTCGCCAGTGTTCCTGGAGGAGGGGGGAATACCTCAACTATGATACCCCATACAGATGCGTGACTGGTCATATAAATAAGTTTAGTGCGAATTTTGATCTCGATTGTTACAGTTGTTGACTATTAGAAAAAGGCACTGCTTCAGCTATGCCTTGCGTGCAATTGTGCTTTTGAATTTTTTCATTCTCTAATAAAGTAAATACATATTATCATCAACTAGATCTGCAAGATACATACATATGACATAATTTCACTTTAAAACAATTCTTTGCTGATTGCTATATGTATTTCAATACGACAAATTTTTACCTTTTGCAAATTATATCAAAAAACGTTTTTATGCCAGAAATATCTTGATCTGCATTACCGCACATAGCCGAGTTGGATTGCGTTTTTACGAGGTTGAATACTACAGTTTCATGCGATAGTCAAGATGTTGTAGTGAAAATTTGATCGTTATAGTAACGCGGGGCTTTGACCTGTCATTGAAACTTTATTAAAGCTAATGATTCTGCTAATAGCATTCCGTGCTATACATAACGATGCGATTCAGCTAAACGGCGTGCATGTCAATGATTCAGGTATCTTTTTTGTGTGTGAATTCTTGTTGTTTTTCTTGGGAAGAGGTGATGCATAATATTACGCATATCGCCATACGAAAAGTGAAAAATTGAGCAATAAAGGTTTTGTTAGTTTTATGTGAAAGTGCTATTTTAAAACTGATGTCCGAACCATATTTGCCATGTGTGTCGAATCGAGTTCGTTTATAACTTTCATAATCGGTGTTTCAGCGTCTTCCTTCGCGTTAGTTTCGTTGCTAAGATTTGAGTTTGACTACCTGGGTAAATAAAAATGGCATTAACAACTGAATCCTAAAAATTCGATATAAATTTTCTTAAAAAGTGTCGTTCACGCTTACTCTTCTTTTGGTGATGGCGTTGTCAACACCTTGTACCACTTGCTTTTCTGGTTCGCGAGGTGCATTTTGAACATTTCCATATATAAGTGTAAAGTATAGGTTGCTGTGTCACAGAAAGAGCAGTCCATCTCCAACACAGATCTTCCTTGCCTTTGTTATCCGTCGTTGCGTACTGACCTTCTGGCTAGCATTTACCTTGTTTCATTTTGTCACGGAAAGGGGGGGGGTGAGGTGAAAGTAGTCAGTTTTTAATATCAGGCCACCTTTCTTTTCCTGATCTCGATATTTTTCAGAA